AAAAAAAAAAAAAGAAAAGAAAAGATTACTAAAGGAAAAAGTCTGATGACTGAATTTTCTGGTTTGCCTTCTTGGCAGAGTAGTGGTTTGGGGAGGAAGAAAGTCTGTTTTCTGTTGAGTTAAATAGTATAGTAATTTGAACCATGTAATTTTATACATATTCACCATGAGACAAGACTCCAAGCAATACTTCATACGTATTTTGTATGAAATACCAACCAGAGCAGAAATACAGCTGCTAATTCCCTCCCATTTCTTGGCCCCTTCTCCATCCCCTCTGAAACTTACCTTCTCTACCTGGTATTAATCACTAGCTGCTAATTCCCTCCCATTTCTTGGCCCCAAGAAATTTGATTTGATTTCTGAGCTTCAAATCCACATACACTGTTCATTTGATGTCTCCTCCTAGGTATGGCAAATGTACAGAAGTCCACATGTCACAGCTAACTCGTTATCTTCACACTAAAATCTAATTTTCTTCCAGGGGGTCCCTGTCTCAGAATGATAATCCCGTCACACAAGCTGGAAGCCTAGAGATCACTGTCCATACTTTATTATCCTTCGTTTGCTCACACTGCGTTCATTCCTTTTTATGACCATGTTTTCTCATCTCTACTGCTACCCTTACCCTTTGACACATGCAGCCCAGCGATCATCATCAACCCTCCTCAAAAGCATCCTACATTCACTCTTGGCCCTCTCCAACCTACTGTCCATATATACTGCTAGAATATAAATCCAGTCATGTCTTTGCACCACTGTATAAAACCCATTAATCTTTTCCTAATGCTCTTAGAATAAAGTCCAAAATCTTTAACAAGACCTATACGACTCTGCAGAGTCTGGATCCTACATATATTTCTGGCCTTATCTCACATCTCTTCCTTTCCCAGCCAGCATGGTTTGTTCCAGTTCCTCCCTCATACAGGCCATGCTCCCTCATTCATCGAGCCTTTGCAAATGCTGTTCTGTCTACTTGGAATGCACTACTCCCTCTTTCTCCTTCCTCCTAAATGCACTTAAATTTTTCTGAATCTTCAGAACTCAGGCAAAACATCACTTCTGGAGGGAAACTTCCTATTTCTCAAAGCGCTATCATTCCTTTATTACACATCACCAGTATAAAGATTATTTGTAGAGTAAGTTTCCCCTCCTAGGTGGTAAACTCCATCAGTACAAGCATAGTGTTCATTTTTTCCTCATGATCATGTCTTCCCACCCTTTTCCTCCAGGCTGATATACAGCAGGCTCTCAATACAAATTAACTGATATGTGTATGCATGAATTCTATATGAATGGATAAACAATTAAGACAGCGATCTAAGGCAACAGAAAGACCTGGGACAACCTAAACTTAAAATACAGGTAGAGAGGGGGCAAAAGGAATGGAAAGTTATTGTTTAACATGGATGGAGAATTTCACTGTGGAATGATGCAAGTTCTGTCCATCTAGAGGTGGGGCCAGTTGCACAGTAATATAAATATATTTGATGCCACTGAAATGTATATTTAAAAATGGTGAAAATGGGAAGTTTTATGTCATATAAATTTTACCATAAAAAATGGGTAGAGAAGGGACAACCTTCAAAGAAGACTGAAAAGAAAATATCAGGGCTCGGCGCCAGCCACGTACACCTAAGGTGGCGGGTTCGAATCCCCAGCCCGGACCCGCCAAACAACAATGACAGCTGCAACCAAAAAAAAAAAAAAAAAATACCCGGGCGTTGTGGCGGGCGCCTGTGGTCCCAGCTACTTGGGAGGTGGAGGCAGGAGACTCGCTTGAGCCCAGGAGTTGGAGGTTGCTGTGAGCTGTGATGCCACAGCACTCTACCCAGGGGGACAGCTTGAGGCTCTGTCTTGAAAAAAAAGAAAATATCAGGAAGATCAAGACAGGGTAAAAAAGATAATGCACTATCATAGAAAAGAGAAGAAAATTTCAGGACCAAGTGGTAGTGTACTGCAGAGAAGCTGAGTCTGATGGACAGAAACTGTTCTGCTGGGATTGAACACCTACGCCCCCAGGAAGCACTGCCTTATTAAAAATACACATACACATAAAAGACTCCTCAGGAAAAGAGGGGTGTATCACCACAAAGTTCAAACTTGCAGCAGCCAAGTTACTTATTTTCCTTAAAATTTTTAATGTATTTATTTAAATGATACACTATAGCTATAGCTCCTTTTCTGTGGATACAGCCATAAAACTTACTGTTTAGTAGATGTAATACTTGATTACACCAAAGTCTGGTTCAAGAGTTAACTGCCTCTCTTACATATTCCCACAATCTCTAAACCCTCACTATAATAAAGTAAAAAGCCACTCATTCAAAATTGATATTTCTGAGGTGCAACAGCTTTGCGTCTCTCAAAAGTCCAAGTTGTAAGTAACCAATTGCAAGCCATTCCTATTCCTTAGGATGTTATAAAGCCCTCTGGCCAAACCCACGCTGCCACCTGTTTTTGTAAGTAAAGTTTTACAGGAACACAGCCATGCCCGTTCATTTATGTACTGTCTACAGATGCATGTGAGCCATTGGGGAAAAACTAATGTCATTGTAACAGAGATCTAAAAGCCCACAAACACTGGATTGTTTACTATTTGGCTCTTTACAAAAAAAGTTTGCCAAGCTCTGTTTTCTTTACTGTCTGACATCCCTGTGTTCCTGCCCGTAATCCTAGCACTTAGAGAGACTAAGGTAGCAGAAAGATCCCTTGAGCTCAAGAGTTTGAGACCAGCTTGAGCAAGAGTGAGACCCTGTCTCTACTAAAAATAGAAAAAATTAACTGGGTGTCAGGGCAGGTGCCTGTAGTCCCAGCTACACAGGAGACTGAGGCAGGGGGATCACTTGAGCCCAGGAGTTTGAGTTAGGCTGACACTAGGGCACTCTAGGCTGGGCAACAGAGTGAGACTCTGTCTCCAAAAAAAACCAAAAAGAAGGAAGAAAAAAAAGAATACAAGCTCTAGAAGGGAAGCTATCTCCTCAGATTTGAGCACAATGTCTAGCATAATGAGTTCTCAACACATACTATTGAATGAGAAGAAGATTTCTAGTTACATAATAAACTATATTATTTCTAAGGTCAGACATTACTGGAAAATGATTCCCAAAAATATTCCTTTTTTTCATTTTTGAGACAGGATGTCACTCTGTTGTCTAGACTAGAACACAGTGGTATCATCATAGCTCACTGCAGCCTCCAATTCTTGGGCTCAAGTAATCCTCCTGCCTCAGCCTCCTGAGTAGCTAGGACTGCAGGCACATGCCACCACACTTGGCCCCCAGGAATATTCTTAATAAATGTCTAAGTGATATCATCTAACTGAAACTGGTTAGAAAATTCTCAATTATTTTAAGTTGTCTATTAGCCTATGTATTTCTTAAAATCATTTATGAATATAACTTATATCAAACTCCAGGGTATAATTCTTAAAGAAATTGATATTCAGGTTAAATATTTTTAAAATTACATAAAAGTATTGCTTTTCAATATTAAATGAAGGTGCATAAAAGTATTATTATTATTTTTTTTTTTTTGAGACTGAGCCTCAAGCTGTCCTCCTGGGTAGAATGCCATGATATCACAACTCAAAGCAACCTCCAACTCCTGGGCTCAAGTGAGTCTCCTGCCTCAGCCTCCCAAGTAGCTGGGTCCACAGGTACCCACCACAACGCCTGGCTATTTTTTTTTTTCTTTTGGCTGCAGCCATCATTGTTGTTTGGTGGGCACAGGCCGGATTCGAACCTGCCACCTTAGGTGTATGTGGCTGGTGCCTTAGCCACTTGAGCCACAGGCACCGAGACCATAAAAATAATTTTAATCTAGAATGCCAAATAAAGAAAAGAAAAACATAACAAGGAAAAGAAATGAACACATTTACTAAGCACTTACTGTGAGCTAGAAAACATGCTGGTCTCCTTGTCATTATTGTTACTTAATCTTTTAAATAACCTTTCAAGACTCATCATTTTTTTAAGGCAAAAACATTATTTATTAAGACATTCATTAAACACACATTTGTTGAGCTTCCATCCACCATATGCTTAACACTGGGGTCAAGTATGGTGGAGATGATAAGGCAATACCAAAGTTCCCTTCCCGGCGCAAGAGATGTACAAGGGAACTTTTCTTTATTTTTTTTAACAATTTGAGTGCCAGAGGCAAATTAAGTCTTCATACTGATCTCTAAACAATAATACAGTTTGTGCTACATCAGTCTGTATTTGTACATGTATTGTGACGTACGTGTGTTCTCATATCAGTCTGTGAAGGCTTCTAAGACCTTGTAAGTCATGGACTGTGACTTCTACTCCTTTGATTTTTCCTCTGAGTAATAATTGTGCAGGGTTTTCAGAGAACAGTGTTTGATAAATATTATCATATAAGTGATTGACTCCTTCCCTTCAGACAAATAACATGCAACACACAGGTAAATAAACGCTCCACTGCCTTCAGACGGCTCCTCTCCTTCAGAAGGGTTACCACACCAGACACTCGCTAGCTCTCTGGCAAGCAAACCAGCTGAGCACTTTCATCATTCTTAGGAGAAAATTGAGCTCACACAGTTAAATAAGGTGAAGAGTGGCAAAGCCGCGTAGCCCTTGAGTGAGACTGTGGTCTCTTCATTTCTCAACCTGTATCTCTCTAACATCAGTTTCCCCAAAGTGTGCTATGTGATGATTTTAGAGAATACTAAACATTTTTAATTTTAGTAGTTATTTTTTTAACTTGTATTAGAAGAAAATATATCACATAAAATTCATAATTTCGGCTTGGCGCCTGTGGCTCAAGCGGCTAAGGTGCCAGCCACATACACCTAAGGTGGCGGGTT